CGGAAGTGGTGCTGTGGCTCAAGTGGTAGAGCGCTAGCCTTGAGCTGAAGAGCTGAGGGACAGCGCCCAGGCCCAGAGTTCAGGCCCCACGACCGGACTTTCTCCCTTCCCCCCCCAAAAAAGTAAAATATTTGGCAAAATGCACAAATGTGAGCATAAATGTGTCAACAAAATTAAAAAGTGTTTATGAGAATATGATTGCTTATTGTAGTAATGGATGGTTGACAACGGTTAACTAAAAACATATCTGTTAAATGTAGGCAGAAGAGTTATTGGACTGAATGAAGGGAGTACTATTGAGATTTTATTTCTTAAATATGAATACATCTGTGAATCCTTGAATGAAGTAAGCAGACCTCTGCCATACATCCTATTCTCTCTGGCTGCTCCTTTTTCTAGAACATTCTTACTTATAATACTCATTGGGTAATGTCTTCATTTCCTTCAAGCTTCTGTACAGTTGCCCATTTCTCAGTGACTTCTATTTTGGCCTGTTTATTAATATTTGTTATCTGCCCTTCCAGAACGGCCAGAGCCCCTCAATTTGCTTCTTACTTTCTTATACTTTGTTTTTTTCTCAGGCCACAGTATAAAAGATCAAGGCCTTTCTGGTTGGTTTGCTCACTGATGTATTTCAGGCATCTAGCCTAGTCTTACACATAAGAGGTGCAGAAACACTTAAAATGATGAATGTGAGCAGACAAATGAAAGAAGCAGACCCATAGGTGGTTAAGTAATGTCCAAGATTTTACAGTCATTAACTACTGGAATCATGTGGCTTTTTTTTTTCAGCTAAAAATGGTATGTGTATATAAAATAATCATAGCGTCTCATGTTATTTCCTCTTTATGGAAAATAAATGAAGGTGCAGAGATAAGTACAAAAATTATATAAGCATACATCATTTGGATATATGAAAGTTTGAAGTTTTGTTCTAGATAAATACTAAGTTCAAGTGAAGTGCCTATGAGCGTGTAAATGTGAAAGTTTTAGACCCAAATTGTGTATATATGAAATTGTTTTCCAATAACAGTGAAGACCTACTAAAGTGATCAGAGTCTCAGAGTCATCTAAAGTTGTTTCCAGCTATTGAACTGGAAAAAAACATGGTAAAATTAAAATGCACATGGAAAATGGTTTCATTTTCTAATTCTTATGTGTAGATTAGGGGCCTTTTTGGAAAGGCCCTTAATTTTGGAATGTATTTGAAGCTTTTTACAAAACTCAAAATGAAAGACTCTAAAAGAAAGGCTCTTCTGAAGTGAAACAACTCATATGTGATAAAAACATTGGACAACGGAAATGAGTTTAGGGAAGAGGAACAGATAAAGTTGGAAGAATGGTGGAAGGGATGACTCTGATCAGAAAGTTCTGAGCATTTAGATGGATACATTAAGTTGTAACCCCCTGGGGTACAACATTCAGCTAATCAAAACAATTCTTATGCTATATTTCATTTTATTTACTTCTTTTAAAAATTATGATTAAGTAGTTTTACAAAGAGATTCCAGTTTCATTAATCAGGTTCTGAGTGCTGTGCTGTTACCTTATCTCTCTCCCCACAAACCCTTATAGAGTTATTATAGATAATTGAAGTTTCAGTAACTTCTTTTTTGATAGAAATACAAAATTTCTTCTGGGTAGGAGAAATTATTTTGCTCTGTGAAGTGCTTAAAAAGATCACACAATTGTCATCATCTTC